GGGGGGGGGGGGGGGGGGGAGGGCTATTGGTGGCTTGTTATGAGTACTTGATTTTAATTTCGTGATCTGTGATTGATTAGTTTATGGAGGTCTCGTGAGTTGCCTATGCAGTTTTGATTTATTCCGGACGTTACACGGGAATGTGTGTGGATTGATCTTGAGCGGCGAGTAGTAATAAAGATGTTGAGAAAGATAGAAGAGACTGTAAATAATGAAATCTCCCACGAAGTAGCTGGAAGACAAAAGCAAAATGTAAGCGAGAAAAGAAAGGGGGGCTTACGTAACTAAAAAAAATGTATCTCAGTATTAGTAGATATTTACAGCGACGGGTAGTATATAAAACACTGCAGAGTGTCTATGAGACGCAAGGAACCAAGAACTATAAATCGCTTTAATATCTACAAATTCCACCAACTCTCATGCCAATCCCTCAGGTCCACCTGGTCGGGAGTTCTCAAGTACGGCGTTAGATCGGATTCGGGTTCCGATTCTTTCGTGGTTCTACCATTACCCCAGTACGAGAACCGGTTTCTGCTCTTATTTGAATCAAGTAGCTCGTATTCAAAATCTTCCCAGCGAGGAGAACGGCGGATGAAGTTTAGGTGCGCGGCACTGCCAGGCCAGTGGCCATGAATCCTTGCTCCAGGTCGACCGCCTGTTTGCAGTTAGAACATATATTACGTATTAAGCTGGGAAGTAATAAGGCCGGTCTTACCATTAGACCAAGAGCTGCATCCTTCTGTAAGAACAGTCGTCGGGAAAAAGGCATCACAATATTCCACGAAATCATCCGCTGCAGCCTTGGATGGAACTAGTGTCTTGATCCCTTGGCCACTGATCTTCCTCAAAAGACGCGCAATGTAGGTCACTTGATTCTCGGCGCCGTGCGGAAAAGTCCCTGAATGCCCAGCCGCATTAGGCCCATGGATGAAAAATAGGTTCGGGAATCCAGGCGTAGCAAATCCAAGATACGAGTATGGAAACCCGAATTCACCATCTGGCTTCCACGCTTGTGCCAAATCGATGTCACTAGCTACCAGTGGGAACGGGAAAGCGTAATCGACATTAGCACCAGTGGAGCAGATTACCGCATCGACAGGACGGTGCACACCATCCTCGGTTTCAATGCCGACTTTGGTAAATCTCTTAATGGGGCTTTGAATAAAACTGACATTCTCCTCGCTCAGAGCTTCTAGATACCCGGGTCCTGGCGTCAGACGCCGGCAATTTGGCGAAAAGTCAGGAACAATCGCGTCAAGAAGTTCAGGCTTATCGCTGAGCCGCTTAGCCATCAACTCTCGAAAATCCTCTCGAGAAGCAAGGTTCTCTTTTGAGTTCTTTAGCAGCCCGGCGAATCTCGTCCAATATGTATTTTCGAGGCCCTTTCGATACGCAAGGTACTTTTCTGGATCTTGGAAGTCTTTCTGCTGCTCTGGGCTGAAATGCATTGGTGAGGCTAACCGGTCACGACCACCTAGAGATCCTGCAATCCAGGTTTTTGACCGAGCGTAGTGGTCTAGGTGTTGGGCAACCTTTTGCAATTCTGGAACTATCTGAATACCACTCGCGCCATTGCCAATTACAGCAACTCTTTTTCCTGTGACGTCGAAGTTGGGATCCCAATTGGAAGAGTGTCGCAAATGTCCCTGGTATTCCTCTATGCCGGCATACTCTGGCAGCTTCCATGCATTAAAACGTCCGATTGCTGTAATCAAGATGTCGAATGTCTCTGTTGTACTGTTTTGGCTTTTTAGATCATGAACTTGAATGACCCATTTCGCCTCTACTGGATCCCACTGTGCGTGCGTTACTTTCCTTTCGAATTTGATATACTGGTATACGTTGTGTTTGGACGCCAACCTCTGCCAATACACTCGGATCTCGGAGCCTTGAGCAAATTCCTCTGTCCATTGCGTGTTCGGAGAGTAAGTGCTCTGATATACATTCGCGGGGACATCGCATCGAACGCCGGGGTCTGTTCAAGTCAACTATGCGCTCCGTGGCAAATCTTAGGTTACTTACATATATTTTCGAACCATGTTCCACCCTACTCAGTCGTCAGAGGCAAAGTCGCATCTAGATGGGTAAGTTTTTGCACTTACGACGTCGCTGTTCTTCTCAAATATCGTCAAGTTGATTCCCGGCACTTTTGCAGGGAAGAGAACGCCAGCAGTAATGCCGGAAATTCCAGCGCCTATGACCGCGACCTATAAAAAATCTTAGTTCAACGATCTAACATGGCGTTTAAGTATCTTCATACTCTTAAAGGCCGAATCGCATCCACGGGATGGTCTTCGAGCTTGAACTTTGGTACCGAATCTGCCAGGAAACTCGAGCTGTCCCTAGTCAGGTGTCGAGTTATAGTCTCTACCCTAGCTTTGGAGGTTTCTGCCATAATGTGACGATTACTTGTGTAAAAAGAGTCAAATCCGCTAGTTTATCATGCTATCTACTCGTCTTTATTTACTTTCCACTTCTACGATACAATTTGGCGCACATCTTTCGCAAGCCAATAATTGCGGGCCTCGCAGTGAATTCGCAAAAACTCGCGTAAATTGTATCATTGAACCCCTGAAATTACCACTGATTATCTTCATTATCTATCTTGCACTGACTTCTATAATGTTTTACGGCTGTCTCCATAAAAAGAAGACGCCTTTATCGTGAATATAAAAAGCGGCACTAGTTCATAATATACTACGCGGCGTAGAACATTAGAAATTAGTAATAGTAAGTGCCGCTGTTTTCTATCCAGCATAAGTAGCATCGGATTTCTTGTAGAGATAGTCGTAAAACACTACAGGGGCTACCAAGTAAGCATTGGCATATTTCTCCCCCGTATAGATCTCGAGCAAGCGATGGTGTCACAGCGGGGTCGGATGAGGATATGGCACTACTACATGCACGGCAGCGAACACCAAAAGTTTCGTGCCCACTATACTGCCTTGGAATATATTTTCTGTGTATTGATAAGATAGATGTATTGGTTCAAACGGTTGCCCCACTGCTTGTGTTTCGCTTTCGTGGTGCTCGTTAGCCAACACCCCACCGTCTCGGCACAACTGTGGAAAGATCTCGATCTCGATTATCCGATATGGTTGTGTAGAGATAGTTTAAGCCCTAATGATATACAACCAGCAAGTCACCCGTGGTCACCCGTCTTTGGACTCTCACAACCTGTTGAGCTTTTTAAAAAGCCTCTGGTTTAGATAAACAGCTCTTGTTCCTCAATTGACTCTATAATCTCCTCACCCATCTCGACCAGCTTCAAGATGCATGCTAAACGCCAAGGAAGAGCTTGGTACCACTGGTACGCCGAAGACGATTCGCCCGAGGAGAGAAAGCTTATCATCAAACTCGACCTCCTCATTGTTCCATACGCAGTCATTGCATACTGGATCAAATATATAGATCAGTCGAATCTCAGTCAGTACCAACCATACCATCCATTATACAATCAATTGAAATATCATGTCTTTCATGGCCTAACAAGCATGTGCATCTAGCAAACGCCTATGTCTCAGGTCTCAAAGAAGACCTTGGATTTAACGCCAACCAGCTCGTGAATCTCAATGCAATGTACATCGCTGGAGCTGTTATCGGACAGCTGCCGTTCACCTTTGTCTTCCCGATGTTTCCTATGAATTACACCATTCCGGCTTTGGAAGCGGGGTGGGGCATTTTTACGCTCTTACAGTATCGTGCCCAGGGATACGGGGAGTTGATGGCTTATCGGTTTATGGTTGGTATTTTCGAGGTACGTTGTCGATATCGCAATTATTGAAGTGTTTTAATTCATACTTATTGTTTGGTAGGCTGCTTTCTTTCCTGGGGTTCATTATGTTTTGGGAGCCTGGTAGTAAGTGAATTCCTATATACGCAGCGTTGACTGTCCATGAGGACGTAGCTTAGACTTTAGAACTTGCTGGGAGCCAAAAGCAATAAGATGTCGGGTTATTGGCTCCTAGCACAGCTCCTAAGTTCTTTCGCTCCTCACTCTAACTTGTTCTTTCCTCACACTAATTTATCTTACAGTCGAGGCGACGAGCTTGGTCGCCGTGGGGGCGTCTTTTATGTGGGTCAGATGCTGGGGACTTTGACCGCGGGGTTCATTCAATCCGGAGCAAGTGCTAATCTGGATGGTGTAAGAGGCATGGCAGGGTGGAGGTACGACATCCTCCTGTAATATACCTATACTTGCTGACTGAGGTCTCACAGGTGGATGTTTATCATCAGTGCCCTCATGACAATCCCCGTCGCCATTGCTGGGGTTTTCGTCTGGCCCGGGACACCAGCGAAACCAAACAAGCTTTTTCTTTCAGATGCCGAGTTAGAACTGGCTATCAAGCGGCTCAAGGACGTCAAATCAGATACGGATGAAAGGATCAAGCTAACCCGTTTGCAACTTCTACGTAAAATTGCCACGGATCGGAGAGTGTACGCCCTTACCATCTGGGATATCTTCTTCTGGAACGCGGGATCGAGTGGCTACGGAGGATACCTCCTCTGGCTCAAAAGCCTCAAGCGCTTCTCCACCCCTAAGGTCAATCAGCTAGGAACCACCGCGCCAGCACTCGGCATATTTTACGTGCTGTTTGTCAACTTCAGCTCCGACCTCCTCTGGGGTCCTAGCGGTGCTATTGCCTTCGCTCACGCCTGGAACTTTACAGCAATGATTATCCTCGCCACGTGGAATGTGCCAGAATCCGCTAAATGGTTTGCGTTCAATAGCACCTATACGCAGGTTGCGATGAGCAGTGTTCTCTATGGTTGGGCCAACGACATCCTCCGCCACGACGCAACGGAACGTTCTGTCATTCTGACATTTATGAATTTGTTTGCGCAGAGTACTACGGCTTGGACGGGCGTGTTGGTCTTCCCTACCAGTGAGGGTCCGAGATTTCTCAAGGGGTGGACTTTCTGTGCGGTGAACTCTTTTCTATTAGTGATTTTCACTTATGCCGTGATTGGGCCAATGGCTCGGAGACAGGAAAGGAAGTTGGATTCTGAGACTAGTAGTGTTGAGGAACCCCGGGATACGGAACGTGAAAGGGATTTAGCAAAGGGTCCAACGGAGGTAACTACTGACCATCCACTTTTGATTTAAACATCAATATAAAAATTTAGAGGCAAAGTAGTAGGCAGGCCATGCGCAACTAGATATTATTGTTGTAGCCTATAAGTGGCAAGTGGCAAAGCTTATAAAGCCTATGGCGAAGCTTAGAAATAGCTATTTCTAAGCAGGTGGTAAAGCTTAGAAATAGGGCTTGAAGAGCCCTATATATACAGCATACTTCCCACTATAGAATAGTAGTTAATTTAAGTTATTACCCCTAGAAATAATAGGTTATCAAGCCTGGAAGACGCTATTGCTTAGCGCATTTATTACTATATTTAATTACTATATTTTTAGCCTTTAACTTGCTATAAAAGCCTATAGATGACTATAGCACTGCTATAATAGAAGAGGATTTTAGCGTAGAAAAGCCCCGAATTACAAAGCTTACAGGGCCTAATTATCAGCTCTAGAGCGTATAAGTCAAGCGCCTCTTATAGAGCACTAACCTCTAGGAAGTTATCTTATTAGGGCCTCAGAGCCCTAAAACCACTATAGAAGCCCCTAGGGGCACTAAAGCTCCTAAAGCCTCTATAGACCCTAATTGGACGCTATAACAGGATGCTAAGGCTAGCACTATTATTATAAAGCTATGCAGCTAGGTATCACTTTAGTATATCTTACTGCTAGACACTGCTAAGGAGCAATAGGATACCCTAAAGGCCCTATATGCCCCTCTAGAGCTATAGCCGCTAGGTGCTAAAACGTCTGCTTTTATAGGCTATACCCCTGCTAAGGGATATGCCACAATTGCAGAAATAGTAAATAATCTTACTATGCTACAGATAGAAATAGGGCTTATTAGCTCTAGTGAGAAGCCTTTAGATAGCCTGAAAATTAGCGTATTCTTTAGGGTTATTAGGGCTATGGATCTATGATTCGACCCCCTAGTACTACAACTTGAGATTACTAAAATGACTAGTGATTTTAGCGCTATCGTAGCACTTCTCATCAAATTAGAACGCTGAATAGGGGCTAGAGAGCCTCTAAAGGAAGGTGCTTTTAGCGCTAAAGAGCTTAAAAAGAAGAAGGATAAAAAGGATAATAAGGGCAAAAAGCGCTTTTAGGGTAACTGCTATAACTGCAGGAAGCTAGGGCATTAAAGCGCTGACTATAGAGGTCCTAAAAAGGATTCAGGGCCCTCTATAGGGCCTCTAGCCTAGCTAGAGGGTAGAGGAGGCCTCTCTCTAGCGCATAATAGCGCATTAACTGCTAAAGAAGGTAGCTAGATAGCCACTATAGGGCATTTAGGGCCTAAATTAGGGAACCACCTGCTATAGATTATCGATTTAGAGGCTTCTAGGCATATAATATATAACTATAGAGCCTTCAGCGACTTTTAGAGGCTTATAGAGCCTATTTCGATTACTACAGCTAGCGGGCTAGTATTACAGGGCATTAGATAGGGCACTATAGCCTTAAAAATCGATGTGAAGGGCGCTATAAGCGCTATAGCACTTACTAAAGTGCTATATATCCCAGGGCTTGCAGGGAGCCTAATTTTAGTCTTTCAGCTATAGGATCGGGGCATTACAGTGAGAACTACTATAACTTCAGGGGCTAGCAGCAGTAACAGGCTGCTAATAGAGCGCTATAGGAGGACTATAGGCATTGCAGAGCGCCTAGAGAAGGCGTATGCTTTGAAAACCGCTATTCTAGCGGATGACAACGCATTACAGGCTACTAAGAGCCTGGGGCATGTCACAATCACGAATCCTCGCGGGCATAGCCC